CCGCATGACTCAAGACCTTGGTCGGGCGCCTATCTTGGTTCTTATTTTAAAGATAGTTTTGCAGACTATATTAAGCTAAATTAAAAATTATTGTCTTTAAGCACTTGAAGAACTTCCCTCCATACTCTCCTTGACTTTAAGTTTTGTGTTGAGAAATCTGCAAGAATTTTAATAGTTTTACCTTTATAAGTGATTATTGCTTTTCTTTAGCAGCTTTTAAAATTCTTTCTTTATGCTTCACATCTAGGATTTTACTGTGATGTATTGTGGGATAGGTCTTTTCTGATCTTGGGTCTTCAGGTTTCTATATGTCTCACTTATCTGTATGTCAAATTCTTTTCCCATATTTGAAAATATTCTATGATATCTCTGAACATACTTTTATGCCATTTGTGCTATCTTTTCAATTCTTTTTAATTCCAAGTAATCTTAGTTTAGTCTTCTTTGTGCCATCTAGCAACTGTTGGATCCATTTTCCATGAACTCCGGTTTTTTTCAGGTATCCGTGAGTAGCTGGTCACCTCATTTCATCTCATCTTATCTCCTAGTGCTGACACTCTCTTCTCACAAAGGAATTACCACAAAGGAATTATAAATGTTTAAGATGATGCAGATATAATGGGCACATGAATGAAAGCATCACATTGTGGCCATAAATATGTACAATTATTGTGACAAAAATTTGAAAATAGCAAATATTTGAGCAGAAATACAGATAACAAATAAGCATATGAAATACTGCTTAGCCTTATTTGTCACTAGGGAAATGCAATTTAAATTCACAATGACCATGAATATGCACTTCTAGAAAAGTTATAATTAAAAAGGCTAAAAAAATTAGAAGGATGGTAGAATGTTGAACTAGAATTCTCTTCAAATATTGTTGATCATATTTAAAAGTAAAACTGCATTGGAGAACGCTATGGCCACTTCTGAATCAGGTTGTGATACATCTATATCCTTCTTTACATTGAACAGCATTTACCCAAGAGAAATGAAAACATATGTCTAAGATTTGTACACAAACATCCACAGTAGTAACACTGGTAATGAGCAAAATCTGAAAAAAAATCAGTTCTCTCCACAGTGGAATGAAAAGCAAATCATGGAACATCCAAACAATGGAAAACTACTCAGCAATAAAAAGTAATGAACTACTGATATAAAGCCATGGGCAAATATTAAAGCAATTGTGCTCAATGAATATACAAATAATTATGAAAAAGATATAAAAAGGTGGCAGGTGATAGATATGACACTAGTTTTGGGGATGAAATTTCTGATATATCTTTATATACATGCATATATCAAGAGTAAATATCAGGTACACATCTATTGACAAGTCTTCCTATGCATAAATACACATTTTGGTCATGTGATGAAGAATGCTCAGATGTGTGAATATATATGAAGATTTATCTATATATATATTCAAAAATATAAAAATCTGAACACTTTTAATATATAGTTACTATTTGCTAATTACAATTCAAAAAGCTTTTAAAAACAATAATAAAATTTCCAGGTGAGGCAACCCCAGCACCCAGTAGGAGACTCCCCCCCACCATTCCACT